CTATCCGGCAAAGCATGGCTACTGTTACACAGTGCTTTTCGAGCAGACCAGAGGGGATCAGTGGAAGTATATGTGGGATTCGTGAATCGGTGGAGAGAGTGTTGGCATTTATGCAGAGAGATATCAGATTGAATGGTTTGAGGCATGTGGAGACACCTGTGAGTCCTGAACAAGAAGCAATCCACCATGGACATAGCAGTAGCTGGTGAAGATGCTCCGTTTAGATGGGACCACGTTAGGGTCAAACTCAAGAAAGAGGTACACTCTCTCGTCTTTGAAGTTTGAGACTGTAGTTTTGAAGATTGTCAAAGTGTTGTTTGCTTTTGTATCTGTCTTATTTTGATAATATGCTTTTGTATTGTCTGTGTAGATTGTTACGCTTGGAATGCCCAGTGTTTCGCCGATTGAAAGAGTTGGAACATATGTGAGTCCCGAGGAATGGAACCATTTTGATCAGTGATCCAGAAACTGTGAGATCTCTTTTTTCCTTTTACGATTTTGTAGCAAGTTTAGTCAAGAACACAGAAAATTTGAACAAGATTTGATAACTATTTTTACACACACAAATCTTCTGTCTTTGTGTAGGTTGCTTAAATTCTGATTCACTATGAATAGAGAAAATACAGTGTTTTTGTGCATGGAAAAAACTATGATTTTGTGTAAAATGTTATAGTCAGTAGTATCTAAGATATATCTTTGAAATTGTGAAATTACTTTGCGTTTCAGAGGTAGTGATCGATGTGCGAAATACGAGGTACCACAGCTTTCAGAAACTTCCCATCTTGGGTGGAGAATCAATCTGCATTGAAGCAAGAAGGCAGTGAAAACACGATTAAAGGAAGAGAGAGAGAGGATTTTTTTCCTGAAAATATCGATAAAGAAGACAAAGCTGAAAATACCGATAAAGATTGTTACGCTCGGTATGGAACAAACTGAGCTTTCTTTTTTACGATCCAGAGTATGTGTATAGAGTTTCTTGTCCTTACTGCTACTCCAAGAAATCGGAAGAGGAGAAAGAAAGGGGCAGAGCGAGGTAGACGTAGTTTGAGGAATTGGGGTGTGTAATTGGTGGTAAGCCAGGCAGATAGTGCAAGGAACAAAGCTTGGTTCGATTTGATAACTTTGGATATTGATCACACTTTTGTTCTTCTTCTTGAAACCAAATGTTGCACTCTCCATGATTTCTAAAATCATTGTTTAAATGGCCTAATCTAAAATCAAGGAAATAGAAGTGTTTATAACTTGTCGGAAGTCAACTTGATTTCTTCAAATTTTTCCATTTGGTCCGAATAACAAAAGCAAATTTTGTAGATTATTTTGTTAAAAAGAAATTGCTGTAATAATAAATGAATTTGTCAAAAACGGGTTTTAATCAAACGCTGCGTTTTCCTTTCTGCGTGGGTCCCACCACTAACCAAGAAAATGTTGGATAATCATGTTGCTGTCACTCTCCGGAGATCGACACCGTGAACTTTCTTCACTTTGTACAGAGAGATTTTGGTAAAAAATTCTTCTTTTGAGTAAATTTCAAGTTTAGCAACATACGTGAACTGTTAAAACTTCCAAGCATCTTAAAAAGTTAGGGTTTTTGATTGATTTTTTTTTTTGTTATTTCTGTTTCTGCTTCCCAGATTTGCAGAGCGTGATGGAGACAGCAGATTTCTCTCCGAAGGAGCTAAACGGTGAAGACACGGTTTTTGGAAGTGGTAGTATGAGTGAATCCGGAAGAAAAGCCTTGTACGTTCATGTGATGAAGGCCTATGGGACGGAATATCAGATTCAGGAAAACTTTCGAGTTGATCTTAGAGCTTCTCCGTCCGTGTGCTAATAATTCTGAAGATACCATTGAGGGTTCTCTACTAATAATTCTGAAGCCTTGTATACGTTCATGTGAGTTGATCTTAGAGCTTCTCCGTCCGTGTGCTAAGATACCATTGAGGGTTCTCTACTCACAATCAGTTTAAAAGGGAATGGCTCAGGATAGATTTGAGAGAGTGTGCCTCCCAACACACCCCAATGGTACAGGTTGAAGAATGAAATCGGGGATTGGCTTCCCATCATGTTGTTGCTCTCTGTTTTTGCAGGGTCTCAACCTACTAGCTTCAGGATACCGAGGTCCAATCCCAGCTTTACTTCACACCAAAGCTATGGTATCTTAGGGTCTTTTGTTATCGCAAAATACTACAGTGGACAGCACATCTTCTCGAATCGTTCTCACTGCTACTTTGGGGAACGAAGATGTTGGGGAACAAAAACACACTTGTAACGAAGAGGTGATGTTTGTTGCCGCTGAGCCATTTGAGGAACCTTTGGTGACTGGCCCAGAAACATTTGAACTCTTGGGGAGATGTGTAATCCGACTGGATCAGGTTGAGAGAAGGTCTCATGGCAGTAGTAGCAGCAACATTAGCATGAGGATTTGTTTGGAAGGAGGGTACAATAATGTTCAGCATGAATCTTCAAACGACACCGACAAACAGGAGACTACAAAAGCCCAAGATAGGTTTGCTGAGATTGAAGATCCTAAGGGCTACGGGTTTGGTGCCTATGAAAACCAGATGCATACTGCGTAGCCAAGTATGGGGCAACGTGGGTTCGAACCAGGACTATCGATGACCCCGTATGGAACGATGAATTCAGATGGGATGTACTTGATCCGTATACTATTGGTGTGTTCTTACTATTGTATAGATCAGAAGATTCAGTGATTGGTAAAGTAAGGATCCGGCTCTCTACACTCACCACTGGTCTCTTTTGGTGATCCAGCCTAACGGGGTCAAGAAAATGGGTGAAATCGAATTGGCCGTCAGTTTTACTTGCTCATCATGGCTCCAACTGATGCAAACTTACTCACTGCCTCTCCTACCTAAGATTCATTACACCCATCCTCTAGGTCGGAGCCACCATTGAAGAAGCTGGTTGTGGAGTTTTTTCTCGATTTGGATTCTCACTCTTGGAGCTCTCGCAGAACCAAGGTGAACGTCACAAGGATTATAGATACTCTGAGCTTTTTGGGTGAAATGTTCATTGACATATATATGCAATTGGGAGAGTACCCCGAAGTCACTGTTTGCCTTCTTCTGCATCATGGCTTACATATTCTTCTTGGAAGAGGTATTGCCATTGTTGCTCCTTGGCATCTTCCTCAAAGGTTCACTTTTCTACTTCTGGACCCCGGACCTTCCAGTGCACACCGACGTAGCTCTCTCACGAGTGAGTTCTACGGCGCAGTGTGACATCGACGAAGAGCTGGACACATACCCGTCCTCTAGGCCACCGGCGATAGTTAGTGTGAGATATGATAGGCTGAGGAGAGTGGCTGGAGCACTTCAGACTCGTTTTGGTGACGTTTCGGGTTCGGTGGAGAAATTGTTTTTGCTCATCAGCTGGCGCGACCAATGCGCAACTGCAATGTGTCTTCTCTTCTGTTTGATCGCGGGTTTTGGCATCTCTCTCCTTACGCATGCGTCTGACTAGATTTACTCTCGGTACAATTACCACGTGACACCGGTTCAGATGCTTCAAGTATTGGTCACCATGTACCTGATGCAGCCTCCGAGTTTCAGGGGACAAGGCTTCTTTCGTAGACTTCCCGCTAGACACGACGATCTCTTGTGAGTCTGAGACACACGAGATACTTTCTCTGGTAACTTTCTGTGGTTTCAAAAGATGAAAATCACTTTGCTTTTGGTTTGTTTTTTATGATATTATCAAACAAATACTCTGGTTTTAGTATTGTAGAAGAATTTTGTCTCAATACTCTAAAATGTGATCACTCTGCTTTTGGTTTGTTTTTATGATATTATCAAACAAATACTCTGGTTTTAGCGTTGTTGAAGAATTTTGTCTCAATACTCTAAAATGTGGTGTGATCGAGATTGCTTGGAAACTGAAAAGCACCACATATATTTCCATTATCAATACTTCGTTTAAGGGTATCTACACCACGTATTTCCTTTCTAGAATATAACTGAATCTTGAATCAGTAATACATTAAGAGCAATTATCAGTAATACAATAACAATTCAGTGATCTTGAATCCCGAATAAAAGATGAATTTATGGCGTGTGCCAAAAGTGAGAAAACACATTCACACAAACAACAACAAAATCAATAGTGCAAGTGGGGAAAACAGAGATCACGTTACTATTTTTTTCTTGCACAACAAGTAAATATGTAAACTCAACTCAAACTTAAAAACGACTCTTAACCGAGTGGAAGATGTTTCCTTTTCCTTGTCACCTGTCCAAGCCGTCAGGTATTGGAGTAAGTTCTTCATGTTTTCCATACAATAGTTCCATGGCTATCTTCCTTATGAAAGAAGGCAAACTTAAGAAGAAAGATAGGATCGATAATTGAAATGAGATGGACAATTTGATTTTATAATTTTTTTAAAAAAACTTTGGATAACTGTTTAGTAAAAGAGTTTTTAGGAATATATGTTAAGAAATCATTGGCAATGTTGTTGACTATTGGTTGATTGGTTCCATAACGATGCTGGATGTATACAATGTTGGATTTAGGCTTTTGGGATTTAGGAGCTATGTATTGTTTGGGATGTAGGCTTCGCTGGATTTTAAAGTCTTTTACATGGCTAGGAGACAGAACATGTTGATTTGTTATGAAACATGTTAGAGCGGAAACTATAATGTGATTACCACAAATAAAAATTCCGTTATACCTCACCGTGATAAGTTTTGAAACTCAATAAACCATAACGAAAAACAAATAACTTCAAAAGGCGATTAACTAATAAACCAACATTTGTTATGACACCCTAAATTTAAAGTAGATTTTGCTAGAAACCTCAATGTAAACCAAAACCAAACCGTATCAAATTGGATAAAATGGTTCTTAATTCTCTTCGGTTTCTATAAATATAAAATGAAAACCATAATATACTTTCTTTAGGCTAAGTTCACAATATAACCAGACCGGACTAGAACAACCAGAGAGAGACCACTCTGACACTATGTTGGACTTGTTTGCTATGGAAACGTATGAATTGTGGTGTGAGGCGACGGACTTGAGACCCTGTTGCAAGAGGAAGGCTTCGAATTTGGTGAGATCTTGTACTGTTCTAGTCGGATAGTAATACAAAGATTGAGGATCTAATGCCACTTGAAAAGATCTTCTCCACATAAATCACTTGCCTTAAGATACATGACATTGAAGATGGATACAAAGTCTTAATCTATATTTATATTTTGCAAATATATGAACCCGATGTTATGTAAAGGAAAGAAGCAAGAACAATAAGAGATTAGTATATATACCAGCATTCCTTCCTCCAAAGATAGCCTCCTCGTTGCTAACCTATAGTGTTTCGAATGATCCTCTTTCATTTTTTTATAGGTATCTCGTATATCATAATGTTTATTGCCGAATAGGTGATTGCTAACGTGTAGTGTACCGTAAGGAACATGCCGAAGTAAAAAACCCAATACGAAAGTATCAAATTTGTAAGCGTGATCAATTCTCCTTACCAGGACTGCCTCCCGAATCACTCTTATTTCTGATGGTTCAGCGCCAACTACTTAAGTTTATAAGGATGTTACATATTAAGGAAACCATAAGGTCAAATCAGAAAACCTTGAATAAAAGTTCGATAATTTCTTACCTTTGATTTCAAAGGATTGTCAAATTGCCGAAACATATATGTGTTTCCTTTCTCTTTGAATGAATAATCAGTCACACAACCTCTCAAAAGGCAAGGGCATTTGCAGAACCTCAAACTCTACAAGTATACAAACACGAATCTCCAAAGCACATTAGACCAAAAATTTCTCCAAACACTATATTTACCATGTTTTCAATAGCCAAGTTGTTTCTAGCAAAAGAATTTTTGTAAAAAAATAGCAAAGTTGTTTTCTTCGATATGAAGATCGAGTATTAATACAATAACAACAAAGTTGATCTTGAATCCCGAATCAAAGATGAAGTTAATGCCATGTGCCAAAATTTAGCAACACGTCCACACTAGCTTCAATAGTGCAAGTGGGAAAAAAACAGTCACATTATTATTAATTCTTGCGCGACAAGTAAACATGTAAACTCAACTCAAAATTAGAAAACGACTCTCAACCCAGAGGAGCCCTCACCGGAAGATGTTTCCTTTTCCTTATCACCAGTCCAAGCCGTCAGGTATTGGAGTAAGTTCTTCATGTTTTCCATACAATAGTTCCTTGGCTATCTTCCTTACCAAAGAAGGCAACCTTAAGAAACAAAGATAGAATGGAAGCTTTTCAGCAACAAAAGGATGGTCCAAGAGCTCATCCACGGTGGCCCTATCTCCCGGCCTCATCGTCAAGCACCGCCTCAGAAAGTCTGTGGCCACCGGAGAGATATCTCCGTATAGCCTCCACTTGTAAGAATTTCCCCTCTCAATAATAGGAGTGGCCCCAAACATTTCAAGAACCGTACGCCCTAGAGCCCATGTATCACGTGCGGGTCCGGTCAATAGGTCATCCTCAACAAACCTGAATGATTCAGTGGCTTCACGCGGCATGTACTGGAGGGTTCCAGGATAATAGAGCCTAGAGTCCATAGTAGGCTCTTTGGATAAGCCAAAACCAGTAAGCTTGAGATCCCATGGCTGTCCGGGAGTGGTGGAAGGGAAGAAAAGTACATTGGTCGGCTTGAGGTCGCAGTGGACGTAACCTTCCGAGTGAAGAGCCTTGAGCCCTTGAAGGATCATGCGAGTGGCGCGCATGACAATAGCCTCAGGCAATGCTCCTCCGGCATCAGAGATCATCTTGTTGAGATTGCCTAAGGAAGCAAACTCCATGTAGATGGAACACAAACTTTCGCCTTTTTCGTTGGTCTCGAAGTGAACATGATGGCTAGATGATCGGACAATGAAGGGATTTTTGTGGAAGCGAAGCAAGATCCTGAGCTCCTTCTCGAAATACTTGGAATATTTGAAAAGACCTGTCTTCTTCGCGTAAGATTTCCCCGATTTGGAACCATTGTCGAGATAAAAAGGGCCGTAGATACCTTCAAGAACAGACAATGGCTTCAATGAAGACTCTTTCAGTTGATCTCCAGTAAGCTTCTGCTTTATGCTCATCTCTCGTTCTTTAGGGTTTCGTGTCTTTTGGTTAATTAGCAAAATCTTCTTATTATATAAAGAGGGAATATGATGCTTGCCTGGGCAAGTAACAAATCTAATTAAGAATATTTACATATTAACAAAATGTAAATTTAACATTTACCTGCAAATTTTGATTCATTTTACATATTGAGAGTTTTGGCTTCCCATAAGAAATATTAGCAAGATCTTCTTATTATATATCACAACAAGATCCATTCGACCAAGCAAGAAATCTAATTAAGAATATTTAGTTATATATTAGCAAAATGTAAATCTAACATTTAGCTGCAAGTTTTGATTTATTTTACGTATTGAGAGACGTGGTTTGCGCATAACAATACTAGCAAAACGTACACGTCGTTAAATCACACTCGACCAAGTTCTGACCAAACAAGAACTAAGATCAAAAGCCAGAGAGGAGCCAAACATCAACGACATAAACCGCAAATTGAACATGAACTAGCCTAATAAAGACTCAAGAGAAAAAAGGCAACCGATCCTTTGAAAGCCATTGGTGCTAGATGCAATGTAACCACGTAATATACAACGAAAGACAGTCAAATTCACTAGTAAGTAAATTGGTAACAGCACACGAAGCTCTCGCAAGGATAAATTGAGCTCGTGAAGAATGTTGAAATGGTATCGAAGAAGTAGAAAACAGAGAGCATTTATGCTCAACTTTAACAACGCGGCAAACCTCTAGTTTTCTAACCCTCTTGTACGATTGGTGTCTTATGACCATTAACCGGAGCTAAACCATTCGGTACTTATCGGTTATCTTCTAATTGGAACGATGTCAAACAATTTTTACGATTTAAAGCCTAGAGTAGTGGTCAACCAATCCAGCTGGCATCTACGGTCAGCCTATTTTGAACACGTGTCAAAATGACAATCGTTGATTGGAAGAAAAATCTTTACACACAAGAACAGAAGAAATCTCCCAAGAAATCAAAAACAAAACACCAACGTTTTTGGTTTAGTCCGGTTTGGTTTAATTTCCTCAAGACTTCGCTTCAAAATTTGGAACCACACCAATGCTACGGTATTGCCACTGGAGATTTCCGCCGTCTCTCGCCGCCGCAAGAATGCTCTCACCATCACCACCACAACCTCACTCTCAGTCTACTTTCTCCGGTGGCGGCGTGAATTCGAGCTCAATCGATGGAAACTCCAAACCCGAGTTACTATTTCCTCAATCCCAACCCCGGAA